AATTTCTGAAATAATAAGCACTAAAAATCAGCGTTATGATATGAAAGCACTGAAGAATACATATAAAAACTCATTTCCCTTTTCTCCATTCCCAGAACCTGTATATTGTATTTGTTTTCTATTGCTGTCCTAACAAATTATCACAAACTTAGTTAACTTTTTTTTTTTTTGCACTTAATTGACTTGTTTGGACGTTTGAGGTTTTTAGGGATCATGTTTCATTTCCCTTGCTTTCAAATGCTGTTCAGAATAAGGATTACTTGAAGTCACTAGCAGTTTTACTATGTCTGAACTAGTCCTGAAAGTAAACATATGCACACCCTGAGCACTAAAACAGTTGGAGAATTAATGATACTCCAATCTCTCAGGCCATGTGTCAGTTGGAAACTAACACAATGGTGAGAACATTTTAAATATTTACAGCCTCATGATGTGAACAACCAGCATTCTCCCTAAAAGAGTAGACTGTAACTCTACATCAGGTTAAAAGAACAGTCTGTCAGACATCAGGAAATAGTCACAAAAAACTGAACATATCTCAGGTGACTCCTACGATGTGCATTCTCCACATTTAATGAAAATTATATGAAATGTAAATAGTAAACAGACCTTAGAAATCATCTGACCAACCTTACCTCATCTTTGTTTTCTCAGTTTAACAGTGTATCAGCGAGACATTTTACTTTTATTGTAGAGCACATATTTCAGGCAGAATTCTACCACCCTGAAATATAACCACCCTCTCCTTCCTAAGCCCAGACATACTCCTTAGTATTTAAATAAACATCTGTTAAGCTCCAGGCCATGTTCAACGTTGGAATTGTTATGATCAATAAAAAAAAAAAGTTAGTTTTCCTACACCAAACAGCTTACAGTCCTAATGAGGAAATGTTTTAGCATTTATTAATTCAAGAAAGATTTCTGGCACTGTGCTAATAACTGTATATAAAAAGATCATTGTAAGATATAAAGCCTATACACTTGAAACTATTAGAAACTAATCCAATAAGACAAAATGGTCATGGTCATTTAGTGCATAATTAACACACCATGCCTTATTCTTCTTGCTCAATTGCCTTATTCCTGTGTCAACATCAGCTTCAAAAAAGTGTATTCAATACAACAAATTTCAAAATCACAGTTTTATAAAATGGCAGATTGATTATGTTAAATGAATGAACCTGTATATTGTATTTGTTTTCTATTGCTGTCCTAACAAATTATCACAAACTTAGTTAACACAAATTTATTATCTTAACAGTTCTGCAGGTCAGAAGTGTGAAATTGATCTCACTAGGCTAAAATTAACTGTATTCCTTCTGGAGGCTCTAGGGAAGATCCATTTCTTTGCCTTTTCCAGATTCCAGAGGCTGTCTGAATTCTTAGTTTGTAGCCTTGTCCTCCATCTTCAAAGCCAGCAACATCAGGCTGAGTCCTTTTCATGCTGCCATATCTCTGGTTTTCTCTTTTGCCTTCCTCTTCCACTTGTAAGGACCCTTCTGATTACACTGCACCCACGTGGATAAACCAAGATAACCTCCCTATTTTAAGGTCAGCTGATGAGCAAACAATTTCACTTGCAACCTTTAATTCTCCTTTGCCGTATTCACAAACTGGGGATTAGGACGAGACATGTTTTGGAGGGGGTGTTGAGCCACATTACTCTGCCTACCACATACATTAGCTGAAATATATATATATGGGGTTTTTTTGTTTTTTCTTTTTTTTTTGGAGACAGAGTTTTGCTCTTGTTGCCCAGGCTGGAGTGCAATGGTGCAATCTCAGCTCACGTGTAACTTCCATCTCCTGGGTTCAAGTGATTCTGTTGCCTCAGCCTCCCAAGTAACTGGGATTACAGGCATGTGCCACCATGCCTGGCTAATTTTGTATTTTTAGTTGAGACGCGGTTTCACCATGTTAGTTGAGCTGGTCTCAAACTCCTGACCTCATGATCTGCCCACCTTGGCCTCCCAAAGTGATGGGATTGCCCGGCCTAAGATTTCTTTTTTTTTTTGAGATGGAGTCTTGCTCTGTCACCCAGGCTGGAGTACAGTGGCCGGATCTCAGCTCACTGCAAGCTCCTCCTCTCGGGTTCACGCCATTCTCCTGCCTCAGCCTCCTGAGTAGCTGGGACTACAGGCACCCGCCACTTCGCCCGGCTAGTTTTTTGTATTTTTTAGTAGAGACGGGGTTTCACCGTGTTAGCCAGGATAGTCTCGATCTCCTGACCTCGTGATCCGCCCGTCTCGGCCTCCCAAAGTGCTGGGATTACAGGCTTGAGCCACCGCGCCCGGCCTAAGATTTCTTAATAGAAACTTTAAAGTAAAAATATTAATGTCTATATCCAAAAGTTAGTTCTACTTCCTAAATTGAAAGAAAAATAAATCCTTGAGATTACTAGAAAACCCTTAAAGTAAATGAACATTTATGACTTGTACCCAAATAAATACTATAGGTAATAGACACTAGACACTAACTTATTACTTAAGAAAAAGTACAATAATCGGCCGGGCGCGGTATTCAATACAACAAATTTCAAAATCACAGTTTTATAAAATGGCAGATTGATTATGTTAAATGAATGAACCTGTGTTCATTTACCAACCTTAAACATTTTTTTTTTTTTGCACTTAATTGACTTGTTTGGACGTTTGAGGTTTTTAGGGATCATGTTTCATTTCCCTTGCTTTCAAATGCTGTTCAGAATAA